AGTTATTTGAGCAAATTTTTTGTAGTTGAACAATTTAAGGGGGGAAGATGAATTAATCTTAATAATTATAATAACATTAGCAATGTTAATTAATTCATCTACATTCAAATACCGGTATCCTCCTCAACTCCCAGAAAACCAATTCAACAACTTGAGGCCTAAACATAATCATAGTATCAAAAGTATTTATTGCAACCATTGCAACTGTCCGCTCCTCTTTGACCGATAGAAAACATAAATTATCAACAACCACCACAGATAGTTCATTGCTAAGGTAAGGAATTCACAGTCTGGAGGTCCCGGGTTCAAGACCCGCTGGGGAAGATAATTTTGATTCTAGTTTGTTCTCAAAATTTGTTTTAATGAACTATTTAATCAAAATGCTCAACTGATATATATATGCATTTCACACAAAATCTTTCATTTCGTGTTTAGGATATGCCCATGGGATGGCTGGTCCTATGTGAAAACAATTTTCAACTTGTTGCAAAGTCAATTTTAAAATTGTTGTCAAAACAGTTTTTAAAGTGTTGTAAAACTGTTGCAATATAGTTGTAAAACAATTTTTGAAATATTTTAAATTTTGCCGTTTGTCAACTATAATCATATTAATAACAGTTTTAATATAAGTTTAACATTGATATTAAAACAATTTTTTTCTCGTTTTTCTGCTACTTGGGACATCAACATTTCTTATAATACTTAAAATTTCTTATAAAACTTATCTTCTATTTCATTTTAATTTCAACCCCCACACTCCATTGTCAGTCCTTTCATTATAACGTTAAGCCTTTTAAATTTCATTGCATGTTTGTTCATTTGTTTCAATAAAACACCTTTTGTAATTCGTATATTTTTTTTTAACTTATTAACTTATTTTTATTTAACTTTGTTAAATTATTAACTTTAAACATTTATAGAATATGCCTAGCCTAAATGAATATTGTGAGGCGAGTTTACAAGTTCGGGAAGTAAACATTTCATATAAAAGGTTTCAAGTTTTTCTTTCATGTTTACTTCCCAAAAGTCATCGTCCCGATCAATTTTTACAGTTTTTAGACCTTTTGGTGTCCAAATGGCAAGTTTCCTCCCAACCTTTCGAAATTAGTTCTTCATGTTTGTCATACGTTTTCCGGTTCATGGCACGAACATTCATTGCAGACAGCAGCCGTTCTAAGGCGACAAATCCACCATTGGTAATAGAACCGGCTACTGCTGCACTGTTTATGTCCATTGACATTGCATTTCCCCGAGGTTCAGGCTCACTCCATATTGTCTGTTTGATGTGGCACATGTTGCAATCAAACACAAACCCACTCCTAAGCCCTCTTTTTATTTCACTAACCAATTTCAGGTTTCTGAGGGAACAGCCGAATTGAGGCGCATGTTTAGTTGGACAAATTGATCAACTAAATAACAAATGTCAACTATTCCACGACCGGTAATATCACAGTTGCCCAAACAGTCAGTAGGATCAGATGATAGCGTGGAATTGTCTATAAAGCCCAGGCGCATATTGTATTGAGCTGTGTGGCGATACTGGCAGTGCAGCACAGCACAGGGCGGAATTGGGCAAAAAGTCTGTGTTGCACAGTTGACATCGCAAATTGGGAAGCAGTGTCGTGCAGTTCTCGTATAGGAGTGATACAGTTTATTGTGTATTGTTGTATGTTGTTAAATATTAGGATTTGAGTTTTGAGTCAGATTCAGGTGCTGATCTAGATTTATTGTTACTTCTTCACAAGAGAACAAGAAAGAAAGGGCAAAAAAATTTGCAATGTTTAGTGTTTTTTGTATTTTATTTTCTCCCAGATTTCATTCTTGTAATTACTATTTATACACTTACTATGACTGGTAACGTAAAAACTGGATAAAAATGCACAATTTCTTTTAATTATCCTCTAGATCCGTCACAAAACACTAGTAAAGCGTAAACCCGGCGCAGGTGAGCAATGCGGCACAGACACTTGTGACTCGACCACAAGTGCGCGCAGTCCACGTGCGGGACTGCACTGCCCTGCCCTGCGCTGCGCCATAATATGCGCGTTTCCTAGCGAACATGTGGTTTACAAAACACTGCCCTGCGCGGCACCACGCTGCGCTGCTCCGACTGCATCTCAATATGCGCCGGGCCTTTAGAGGTAACAAATTTCCATCCTCTTCCCCACAGCTCATCGCCTCATCAGCAATCAGCTCCTCAACATCACTACTTAGTTTTCTTTTTCTACTTCCCACAACACCAAAATCTCTCAATACTCTCCACTCAGCCAACCTTTCGCCACCTCTGTTTTTCGCCTTTCTTCGCAACGGTCGTTTTTTATTTCCTATAATACCACACCCGTAAATAAAAAGAAGCACACGAAATGACTTTCTACATTTGTAAGTAAGTAGCACTACGAATTATTACTAGGGAACTCTAAACGTCACTGGACTTGTGGACACAGCAGACCAAATAGGTTGCTAGCCTAGAACATAACCTCACAGTTCACAATAATGTCTGGGATGGAATTGGCGAGTTTTTTCAACATTATCACGTGACTTGCGAAAATAAGAAATACAAGGTGTAGGGGTGGAGCGACGAGTGCAATGTGTCTTGTGGTTACAGTGTGTATGGCCGAGACGTCGGCCAAGGTGGGAGGGGGTAGCTATCTATGCTGTGATCGACCTAGAGGTTTAGGAGATTTCCTTCCCTACTGATAACATCTTGTCTCGGTGGTGTAGTGGTTAGCGCACCGGAGAAACGTTCTAAAGGTTACCGGTTCGAAACCTCCTGATGCACAAACTTTTTGATTCGATTTCTTCATTATCGTTATAGTTTATAGTTTGGATAGGTTATGACAGTTTGATTTTATAATTATAAATTATGTAATTGAATTTTAGGCATTTAAAATTTTATTTTATAAACAGAACAATTTTTTATACCAGCAGACTAATTCGTTCAAAAATTCATCTGTAAATATTAGTTAAATTATGAAATTTGCCCGTTATCACATGAAACGAATATAATTTAATGCCTTAAATGTATATACGGTATTGTATTAAAAGATTTTATATTTCTACTAAACTGTATCTTGTTTCCAATCATTGCGTGGGACAGGAAGGCTCTGGCATATCATTTATATTGATTGTACACATGTTGGTTTTGTACTTATATCAGTATAGAACTAAGAAATAGTATTTGATAAATTTACAACATATTTTATACTTGTATTCAAATTTAAAATGTATTCCACACCACACCATTTCTTACTGTCCCCAGTTCATTTCCTTTCTTTCAATAACTATAACAATGACAACAATAATCATAACAATAATTTCGTAACAATATTTGTTCCACATTAAATAAAAAAAGCTATAAAATTAGCAGCGCATGATGAATGTAGAACCATAATAACTTGATTTGAGCTCCCGCCAAATGCGCGAGCGTGCTGCTATCTCACGGAGAACTGCCAGACTACTACGCCGAATTACCGCCGCGATGGGCAGCAAAAACATGCATTTTCTTAAACCATATCACGTGCACAGTTTACGTCGGATCTTCTTGAAACAAACTTTATTCGATAGATAATTAAATTTTGTAGGGGGTTTGCTTTTTCGAATTTCAAATATTCCTTTAGAAAATCCTCCACAAATTTGTAAACTTAAACAAGCGTATTTTTGCTATAGTTATTTTAATATTTCTTTAATCAAAAAAATAAAAAGCAAACCCCCTGTAGAATTGTATTCTCTTTCCAATGACACATCAAACGTAGTTCTATGTTAAAAAATAACGGCGCTATATGGTTCAAAAGATTACATTGTTCTTATGGGGCATCAATCCAATATGGCCGACTGCTACTGCCCACTCTTAAAGTAGGTAGGTCATGTATTCTATGGAAAAGTACTGGTATCAAGGATCGTCGTCAAAATGGTTGTTAGATGAATAAATAGGTAGGCGTACGTACCCAAGAGATGGGCTATGGGCCTATTTGCTGTATGGTCCAGCGATTGCATTACACGGTGAGTAGAAACAGAGGGACACATTGGAAAAGCGAGTTTAGCATCATCCGTAAAGCTCTATTACAATCACCCACTGCAGTTGTGATTTTTTTACTTTACACTTTACACAATCGCCATTGAAGCGCCGTCAATGAGGGGAAACCTTGTTTGTAAGCTATTGGCGACAATCATTAAGTGTCCCAGCCATATAGAACACTGATTCAAGGTCTTTTTTCTGGTTATCAAAACTCAAGAACAATTTTATACACAACGAATTTCTGGTTCCTGACCTGGATGATGCCTAGTTATTTAATTTCATTTACAGATACACTATGATATTGCACTTACGATTAATTAAATCCGTTATGTAAGAAAAAACGTTTTTAATCTCACTTGGTTGGGATTTGCTTTCAAAACGTTATTCGAAATGGTTGCGGTATTTGTAAACAACATTTGTAAACATATCAGTGACAGCTAGAAAAAATATTCTTGATCCGAACAGCTGTTCGTTATTTCATAGCGATTATGTGATAAAAATTGAACAAAAATTTGACTAAAGTCGCACAAAACTGCATTTTTGAACGTCCGTAATTTTATTTAAAAAGTAGTGAGGCCATATTTTAATCACTAAAGACACTCTCGCCAATCCAGTGAATACATTAAAATAACTTGGATTTTGATAGGTACTCTCGTTTTCACGGAGAAGATTGCGTAAAATGCCATCTTGAGTGTTACAGACAGACAGACAGACAGAAATAGAGATAAGACACGTTTCTGCTTCTTTAATGTATAAAACGTAAAAATAACCTAAAAATATATAATTCTGAGCAATGTACAGACAAAAATCTAATTTTATTTACATAGATAACTTTTGTTTGAGCAAAACCTAAAATAAACATAATAGCAGCAGTTTAGTTAAAAAAAAATAAATATTGATAGTGTATACTCTATGATATTATAAAAACTTTTTTCTTATGACTTCTATTTACAGCAAATAATGAGTATCAGTATTATTGTTACAGAAAACTTTGGATTCTATTTCCTCCAAGCAGTACATCAACATTAAGTCCTACGCGAGTCCCCTATGAGGAGTCTAGTATTTACAGCAACATCCACTTCTCTTGTGGACAGAACATTACTGAAGGTAAACATAACTTGAGTTTGGTAATTTTTTGCCAATGTTTGGTGCTACCCTGTCTCTCAAAGTGACGATTTAATTAACTTACTGATTTTAGTGTGAGCGTTGCTAAAAATTCCATTTAATTATTGGCTGTGTACATATCAGTTCAGTCCTGTAATTGTAATCTATATATATAAAATCCAATGTATGTTTGTATATTTGTATGTTTGTCCTTTATGGACTCCAAAACCGCTTGACAGATTGTAATGAAACTTTCAGGCATTATTAAGCATTATTCAAGGATGGTTTGTGTGAAGTTTGGTGCAGATCCGTCAAAAGGGCTCCGCCCCAGTGGCTCTGGAGTTTCCCATGTTAATCTTATGAGTACCCATATTTAAATGGAGTTAAAGAACCTTAACAGCTGGTTCAACTAAACTATCTGATTCTGTGATGTTCAATAGCATTAAAAAGTTAATAGGTTTACCAACAGGGTGCAGCACTATATTTTTTTTTTATTTATGAGAACAGCTAATTTGCAACCAAAAGGTGAGTGAGCGTAGCGAACGAACTCCAACCTGGAGGCGAGTTAGCGTAGCGAACGAGCTAACCTGTAGGAAAGTGAGCGCAGCGAACGAGCTCCAACCTAAAGGTGAGTGAGCGTACCGAACGAACTTCAACCAGGACGTGAATAAGCCATGCGAACGAGCTCATCTTGAAAATGTACGAGCATGTGCATAAAACCACAATAGGACAGGACTACGTCTGTCGGGCCAGCTAGTATTTTTTAAATAAAAGAACAAAGATAAAATCTAGTGCATTCAATTTATTCTCCATTTCAATATTTTCAATCACAACTGAATTATTATTATTATTTACAAACTTAACAATCAGAACAAAACAAAAGTCTTTAACATCGGGAATGCAACCAACATTATAAAATCAAATGCTGCTTCTTGTACAATTAATATAAACATATATTACACTTGCCAACACTTAAAATTGCTTGACTCATAACACTTTAAAACTTTAAAAATTCTTCTGACTCTTTGGCTTCTCCAACTTTATAGATCCAATTTCTCCGGCTTGTTCGCAGTCCTTTGTGATCTCTTTAAAACTGGAGGTATCGCACACCTTGTGGTTTCCCAACATCAGGCTTTGATCTAGGCAAATGAGGTGGAGCATCATTTCTTGATATTGATGGTGATGGAGACTTCTGAAGAATAGGCAAAACTCTTTTGAATTCTTGTTGATGTGTCTCAATAGTTCTTCCAACTTCCTCTTTCCGCACGATGATTTTGTCCTCCTCTACTTCAGTTGGCCTAAGATGGTCTGCATATTAGACTCTTGTTTTGCCAAGAACACTAACCAAATAAGTAACTGTACTTTTACACTGTAATATACGACCTGGAACCCAACTAACTTTCTCCTGTCTGACCGTTTTAACCAACACCTTTTGATTTTCATTAAAAATCTACACGCACCTCTATGCCTATCTGAGGCTCGTTTTAGACCCTAGTCTAAAATTGACTAAAAATTGAATCCTAAGATTCAAATTTCCTATCACCGGTTCATTTAGCTCTTTTACTGCCACTAACTACGTGAGCCAAGACTGAACAAAACAGTTGCGTTCACAATCCACGCTATTGTTTGTTTTTAAGGGATGTTAGTTCTAATTTTATATTTCAGTGTTTACTTTAGTTGTAAATTGTTTAATTAGACAAATTATTTAGGGTTTGTTATTCAGTATTGTTAATAAGATCAGTGTAAGTGAATTTTTCTTACACTGCAAAACAAACTTTTATGGTGAACCTAAACATGTGAAAATACCAGTGCAATCATCATGTACTAGTGTTAGTATTCAACCAGTATACTATCAGTACTAGTATTCATGTAAAAATTAAATAAACGGTATCAGCAATCTGACACATATTTTCTCCAATTAGCTTGTCACCTTTATCATGGGTAAGCGGTAGGAGCAAATGTAATATTTTATAGGGAAAATCACAAAAGTTGCAATAACTTTTGAACTGTAATTCTTACAGCAATTGGGGGTTCCACTATTTTGTTTGGAATTATTAGGACCATAACATAAGTACTAATTTTAATCAAAACCTACTTTTTTAAATTTGATTTTCTGTTATTTTATGGGAAAACAACATAAGTTTCAATAACTTTTGAACCATAATTTATACAGCAAGGGGGGTTGTTCCATTTTGTTCAGAATTTAAAAGTCTATAACATACTACAATTTTATGAAAATCGTATTGGCCATCTTTGAGAAAATTTTAATTTACTGTTATTTTATGGGTTTTTATGGGAAAATCATTAGAAATAGAAATTTCAAAAAATGCCTGGAGATACCATGGGACCTCCATCAAAATCGGACCACAGTTGTTGTCTGTAGCTCTGTACTGGTACACATCCACATATACTGACAGACACACACACACAAACACACAGACAGGCAGGCATTACATCGAAAACAACTTTTTTTTTTGTTCAGGGGGACCCAAAACGGATATACCACTCAAAACTAAAACTCAAAAATAAAAAAAAATATTTTCTCCGTATACTTATGGTATAGGGGGAGAAAGTAAATATTACTAAATAATCTCAAGAATTTATTGAAAACTAAGCGAGTTACGACCTTTTCCTCAGACCTTGCAATGTTGGTTCAGATCGCATATCAATTTTCAATATGGAATCAGGTAAAGAGGGTTAAGAAAAGTCCTGACTGAATTACACCCAAACTGTTTGAGAGGGTTCCACCCGCCGCTGTTTACCACGTAAATATGGTCCCTCAAAAAAGAACCTCCTGGCATTATTAAAGTGTTTATCAAGTTGAAATAAACTGTAAAATATTCGCAAATATCCAAACTATGCACTGGCTGAACTGAAACTTTGTAATTGCTTCTTTAAGTATTTACCAAATCATTTAAAAAATGCATAAATTAGTCTTTTTCACATGTGATTTAAACTTCTAAATAATAGTTAAAATTTATTTTTGCTCCACCCACTGCAAGCTCTGATATGTTAAGAGCACATCAAGCACACGATCATTGAATACAAATTAGTTTTAGAATGTTGAGAGCTTGTACCGTAAAGGCATGTTCAGGAACATTAGCATGTTTAGCCGCCATCTTGAATTGACCAGGTAGAACCAACCCTCTTAAGAACATGGTTACTAAGCAATGAAAAATCCAATCCAAGAGGAATCATGAAGCAACTCTCAAGAACAACATAAATCAGATCCAATTGTTTAATCCAATTAGTCATTTCCTTGGGCGACTCAGGTTCTAATTAAGAGGCAAGGGGGGGGGAGTCATTTCCTTAGACGACTCAGGTTCTAATTAAAAGGCAAGGGGGGGGGAGTCATTTCCTTGGACGACTCAGCTTCTAATTAAAAGGGAAGGGGGTGGGTGTCTTTTATTATATTTAATTTTCTTATTAGATAAAAATGAGGATGCTGCTATTTTCACTCATGCTTCATTGAAGCAAAGGATCATTTTTGGTGGGCTTGGATTTATTTTGGATACGATACAAATATAAAATGGAATTATAGGATGACAAAAAATACAGCACTGGCCTTTTGACTCGATGGATATCACAATAGAGCTAAACATTGGACCCAACAACTGTAATACATTTCATCAGTGTTTCAAGCATGGCATTTGCATCAAACTAAGCCTAACTAGATTTTAGCTGCATAAAGGTTTATTATTGAAATATGATCTTTAATTTCCAGATATTGGAGAAGCCAGAGTTGTAGAGCTATCTCCAGGTGATGTACTTGTAGTTCCAAAACATTGGTGGCATTATGTAGAGAACTTATCTACTGCTATCAGCATCAATATGTGGATACCAAGGGTAAGTGCATGTTTGATATAATGCTTGATTATAATAATAGTAGGACCGTATAATAAACAAAACAGCTCAATTACAATTGAAATCTGTACATGTTTTGATGTCAAGTCAAGACATCATCAGCAAGTACTTATGAAGTTTTCCAACCATTGAGGTCAGGTTGTTCAAACACAATGTAAACATTTTGGTTACGAATAGCAAAATTTACAAAAACAAAGAAGAAGGCCATTGAGATTTTTAACACTGCACTGAAATACAGTACTATAGTCTCAAGTTACCAACTGATTTTAAAATTGATCATTTATGAAAGAGTTCACATTATAATATTCCTTATTGATTAACAATTTAGATACTTCCTCTTTGAATTTTTCTATTGTTTCTGCAGTTTTGATAGGTCCAGGTAATTTATTATACATTTCCCACCCAAATACTGTGGACAACTTTTCAAGAGCAGTAAGCCCGTGAATGGGCAATTGTAAATCAACACAATTCCTAGTCAAGTACCTAATAAATATTCCTAGACAATAATTATGCAAACCCTATTTAAAGACATAAAATATTAACTTTACCTTTAGTGTATATTTTACAATTATAATTACAAATTACAATCATAATAATTATGATTGTAATTTTCATTGTTAAAGTAATTTATATTTTTTTTATAAACAGTCAAGTTTGTAAAATATACACTAAAGGTAAAGTTAATATTTTATGTCTTTAAATAGGGTTTGCATAATTATTGTCTAGGTCTTGAAAATGTCATGATTCTCAGAATTATTTGAATGTTATTTGAATTTTTAAAACGATGTTAGGTTTTTAACTATTGCCCCAAAATTTGTTACATATTTTACAATTTACTTTAACACTTTTTAAAGGGAATTTAATGTTTAAAATTTAACTAAAACTTTTGCTAGAAACTTATCAACATTTTGTTGGGTATTATTATGTACAGTGACACTCCATGAGGATTCATTGAACACTTCTAAAAACGTTAGTATGTTTCTTTTATTAAATATTATTTTTTTAAACTATTTCTAGTGGTAAGCTCTGTTTTTAACCCACATTCATTAAAAATAAACAAGGCTCTATGGTCTGATAATCCTAACTCTATATTGCAATACTTTGAAAGGTCTTTTCCTCTATTAAAAAGAATGTTGTCTATACATGTTTGAGGCTTTTGAGTTATTCTGGTAGGTTCATCTCCTGAGTCTGAGCCATGACTTATTATAAGATAAAAAAAATTTATCTTGGTTTTTTTACATTCATTCAGAACATCAACGTCGAAATCACCTGCTTTACAGATTTGCTTTTGGTTTTCTTTTTTAACCAAACAAAAAATTTTTCTAACTTGAAAAAAATAATTTAAAATTACTTGCATCTGACACACGGTATATTGAAATGATGAGCTGATTTTAATTTGGTATCTCAATACAACATCCTTCAAATACATTATCTATAAAACATACATTTAAATCATTTCTCTCCTTGACTACTACATCAGACCTAACCAAAATACAAGATCCACCATGTAAACCTTCTTTTCTACAGTAAAAAGCAGCTAAGCTATAAGAAGAGCTTTACAGATCTAGTCAGTAAAGTGTCAAAGTCTTTCATGATATTCTTTGCGCCTTTGTGATCAACATTGTTGGTTCCACCCATGACCAAAATGAAATCATCCTGATCAATGTCTAATGAGTTTTCAGTGATATCTTGAATAACATCGGTCAACAAAGCCCCAGGTTTTATAATGCCAATTACATTTAGATTAGTATTTTGCGATAAGAGGTTACTAAGTCCTCGGCCATGACTGTCAGTCAATTTTAGTAGCTATTAGATTTCTGTAATTTTGTCACACTTAGCTTTTTTTTTGACAGGCATAATCTTTTTTGTTTGTTTGGGTCACAATTTTATCAGTCAAAGTCACCGATGGGTTACTGTGTTTTTCACCTTTGGCACCTGCTTCAGAAAGAACCAAAAACTTGTTGTTACATTGAATAGTAGGGACCTCTTTGTCCTTGGGTATTTTAGGGGATTTTTAAGCATTTGCCATGATCACAATAAGGTTGAGAATTTCTTTCATTCAAATTTGGAAAACAATTGAGACATTTTGAGCTATACTGACTACTTTCCTGTGATTCTACTTTTGCTTTCCTTAAATCAGTATTTTCACATTGTAGCACAATTGTTACAGCCTCTAATGATCTTATGGAGTTAATCATATTTTTGGTGTCTTGCTTGAGTACTTCACATCTGTTGCAAATAGCTTCAGTAGACATTCTTCTCAAAGTAGCGGTTCTTCAATAGCGGCTTCTGTCGTTGGGTCTTTATTCACATTTTGTAACTTCTCTATCTGGTTTACTAAGTACTAGTGTACCTGTTGCTCGAAATCGAGCAATTTTCAAGTACCGTTATTATACAGAAGTTATTTAAAAACTACAGTAATAACGGTCATAATTTTTGGTGAGTTTAAAAGACCCGACTAAATACTTATGTAACTAATTGAAATACTCACGCTATTTAATAGCGCTTTAAAATAATAAACGCTTCTTGTAAAAATATTTTAGAATTTTTTGGACCCGACCTTATTTTTAAGTGTTTTCTACAAATGTTTCCCAACTTAAAGCTATTACCAGTAAACATTTCTTGCATATATTTATTTTATCTGACTTTAGGTAGGTTTACTTTACCACTGTGACATCATGAAGTGTCCATATTCTTCATGGTTTTTTTTACTTCCAAAAAGTTGCTTAGCATAACTGGCAAAAATGATTCATCTCCCCAAGTGATTGTGTACCTGGATTCCTTACTGTGAGACCAGGCCTCTCCTCTACTCTTCCCATACGTCTAAGATTTCCTATTACTTGTCTCATCCTCCTGTTTTCAATATTTCTCCTTTAAACTCAAGAAATTGTCTGTTCTTCCAACAAAACTGATTGACTGTTTAGATTTGTCTATAACCTCCTAAATATTACAAACATCAACATTTACTCCCAAAAAGATGGTGAGTTTCTTTTTATATACAGCTGTTTTTGTTTAAAAATTTGATTTCAATGTAATTCTTATGGGGTAAATGCGACCTTTGAGAGCGTCTCGTGCCCTTAAGGGTAAGAGTTTTCAAATTCTAAAACCTTTATGCAAAACTACGAATTGAGACAAATTATTTGACACCTCAAACGTTAAAATCGATCCAGAAATAAGGGAGGAATTTTGTAAAAAAAAAACAGCCCTCACGTATTAATAAGAGATCCTTATAGCACATGTCTCAAATTTTAGAATAACCAGCTGTTTCAAATATTAGTGTCAATTTCAAATTCAACTGTTCAAATGTAAACAAACATTTTCTCCCTAAGAATAACATGGGGACTTTGAAGGCCACTGGGGCAGAGCCCTGATGGAATTCCCAAGTTTTTTTGTTTGATGGCAAAACTACATGCTAAGACCTTTCTAACAACACCTTGGACATGGTGATCGGTAGCACCACCGCTCTAAAACAATTATGACAAAAATATGCCTAGCGTATTAAATATACAGATGTAATTTTATAAATAAAATCATCTTCCTTTTCTAGATGGGGTTTTATGAGATTTTTTATTTCATTGTCTTTCTTTATTATTTTATCCTCTAGTTCCAGTTCACGGCAAGATTTTACATTTTTAGTCTCATGCAAAGCTTGTTTTAACTGTTCATTTTCACGCAATATTGCACTACTAATTTCCGTGGCTTTGTATTGTAAAGTGGTTGTGTTATGTGTAAATGTAAGGTGTGCTTTGAAGATGTTCTTTGTGTGATGTGAAGAAGTGGTTGTAATTGGGGCGGTGACTTAAAAAAACTCACTTGGCAATTAGTTTGAGGTACAGGAACAGTAAAACACCGGAATTCAGTAACTAGATATATGTAATGAAAGAAATCAAGAATTACAAATTGAAGTTAACACTAATACAACGGAATATAAATGGCAAATGATGAGCAGAGAACAGCGTATTTTACATGATAAAATCTTTAAAATATTACCTTTACTATTAATTATTAACTTTATTATATTCAAAAGCTAGTAAGCATTTAATCATTCCACTAAGTAGATAGAGTGTATTAACAAATATCTTTTTAAATTAATCAAAAATAAATTAAATTAAACCAAATAAATTGAATTTTAAATAAATAATCTCCCTGGAGAGATGAACTTAATATCTTAGATATTAAACAAAACTTGGTTTTTCTTTTCCGACTACGTTTGGCTCTTCTACCCGACCGATTTTCATGATAGAGGTCTCAAATTGAAGGTATGCACGCACAGATTTGCCATCAAGCATCGGCCTACAATTATCTATAGTATCACTCGGTTTATACGTAAACGAAATTTGCTCCCCATGTATTTCTTATGGGAATTAAATTTGGCTTCTCTTTGCCGAGTTTGTTTGACACTTCTACACATCGATAGACATGGTTTAGCCCCTGAGCTGAATGGACAACTGCTAGTTCGTTCCATCGAACTAGCAGTTGTCCAGTCAGCTTCCGTACACGTACTCATCATGTGCGCGACAGGCCTGTCTTTCGTTTTTTATGTTTTAAATGTTTGTTATCGTGTTACGTGTGTGTTTCAAGTTTGACGACGCCAAATTCGGTGGATGTATGTATCTGAGGATGGCATTTTGATGCCGAAACGGCCGTAATATATACGGAAACTACGGAGCTGTGACGAGATAATTGTACAATTATATTATAGACTTCTACACTACCGATTTTCATGATTGTGGTCTCAAATTGAAGGTATGCACGCACAGATTTGCCATCAAGCATCGGTATATAATTATCTATAGTATCACTCAGTTTATACGTAAACAATATTTGCTCCCCATGTATTTCTTATGGGAGTTATATTTGGTTTCTCTTTGCCGAGTTCGTTTGGCTCTTCTACCCGACCGATTTCCATGTTTGAGGTTTCAAATTGAAGGTATGCACGCACAGATTTGCCATCAAACATTGGAATATATTTATCTATAATTCCACTCGGCTTATACGTAAACAAAATTTGCTCCCCATGTAAGTTATTTCTTATGGAAGTTAAATTTGGTTTCTCTTTGCCGAGTTCGTTTGGCTCTTCTACCCGACCGATTTTTATGATTGAGGTCTCCAATTGAAGATATGCACACACAGATTTGCCATCAAGCATCGGCATATATTTACTGTATCCATAATCCCACTCGGCTTATACGTAAACCAAATTTGCTCCCCATGCATTTCTTATGGGAGTTAAATTTGGTTTTTCAAGGATTTCACATCAAGCTTCGGCATATATTTACCTACCGTATTACTCGACCAAAAAACATAATTTGATTATTTTTGAATTCTTACTTCAATTTAAGATGTATTTCGCCAGTTATAATTATATAATCCTATATGTTTTGGACTAAGAACCTTCAGTGAAATACCGGCTTTCATTTTAGCTATTCGTTATTCAAATCGGACGAGTTTCAAGCAAACGCAAGGTGAATAAGCAACATAAAAATTATTTTTCATAAGGTTTTTCTGTGATAAAAAATCATTCTCTCCGGTATTTTTTATGTTTTTTATATGTTTAAGACTCAAAATAATCAGTTAATTATAGGCTTTAATTTGAGCTGTTGGTCGTTTGAATCAGTTAAGCTCAAGATACTAGATTACTCAATCAAAATCATAAATTTGATTATTTTTCAGATATAATATTTATTTGGGTCCTCTAGTTTAACTGTAACAGCTTGGATAGTATAATGATATACATTAAATTATTGTAGTAAATAAGTACAACTGAGCACTCTGAATATTATATTTTTAAAAGTTATAATATTCAGGGTGCTCAGTTGTACTTATTACTACAATAATTTAATATATCAGCAGCCCTATTACGTGAACACCTAAATTAAAATGATATACATATATTGTTTATTAGGAATCTGATGATGTAAGTCGTTTGGAAGAAGCCCTTGTAAGATTTTCAATAGCAACAATCATCAAAGGTCTTGATGTTGATACACCATCTGGCGTAACATCACTACTTAATCCAAATGAGGTAATTATCAATATTAGCATTGTATGCAAACTTTGACGTATTTAGTTGGAACTTATTCTTAACTATGTACAAAGCTGGCCTTCTTGATAAGGGTGGATTGTTTAAGTGTGTACGGCACCATAGACAAATAGAATAAACTAGTGGCTTGTAGGGACATAAGTCCCTAAAAAGCTCAAATGTAAAACAAATTATTGTAATACTTAAACAAACTCAGAATCAACTTATCTATGTGTCAGGATAGGTATCCCTGTACAACATATCTTTTGTATGAAAAACAGTTTGTCATTTTTCTTTGTTTGCTTTTTTTGATGTTATTTTCAATATATAATTTGAATGCCTCCAGAGCTTTAACTTTAATAAAGGCAGCAAACATGTATGTGAATTGGTTTACTAAGGTAGCCTTGGTCTTTTGGTTTATGATGATAAAAAGGCTTCCCTGATTGAAATATGGGAAATTGTCTTTGTCAAGTATGAAAAGTCGAATAAAGGTGTGTTTAGATAAGCTTAGTTCTTGGTCAAATCCGCTAAATTAGCACCCCAACCCAGTTATTATTATTTCTAAGTTTATACTCCTTTTGTAAAGGTTTAACAAAATTATTAGTTTAAAGTAAAGGCATCCCATTGACCAAACTTAACCCTAGATTTTTTTCTGATCAACATAAAAAAAAAAACTACAATTAGTTTAAGTTTATTTAGTGGTATTCCTCCTAAAGGTGCGATTGACTTTAGATATTCTACAAAAAAAGGCCTAATCAACGCCTGATTACTAACTATTTTGCGACTGTTTAGGGTTCCATTGCCCAGTTATCGTAACCAATCACTAAATTACTTTTCATCAGCATCTCCAACATGCATATTTTTGTTTAGTTTTAAGAAACGGAAACTACCTCTAGGTTTTACTGTTATATATGGATGCTCCCTTTACTACCGTGCATGCTAAGCTATATTATTTAAACATTTTAAACATTTTAGTACCTAATTAAAATCTAAACCAAACAATATTGTTTTTCCGCCCATTGGAACTTGTCATAGTACTTACTTAATGAACCTGTACGATCCTATTTCATCTTTATTCCCAGGTTGTTTTCTAAGAGTAGCCATTGAGGTTATTCCACTCCATACAAAATATTGATTAAACACTACAATAAATCTCAAATATAAATGTTTGTAAATTTACAAAAAAGAGTAGAATAAAACTTTAACATATGTTTTGAAATCAAAACAAAGTAGAAGTTTTCCCTTTAATCTTGAATCGTTTATTATTTAGACAATGTAGTTATTTCATGTTAAACATTCCTTCAACACAACAATAACCTTCAAATAGGAAGAAAAACTTCATTATTGTTTTAGCCATTCTAAGTTCAATTTCTTTGATTTGACCCATCTCCTACGATTCTACTGCTTAACATACGCTTGACTAATTTACTTCAAAATACACAAGTTTGCAAATTGCACAGTAAAATAATTGACTTCAACTTACAGTAAAATAATTGACTTCAACTTACAGTAAAATAATTGACTTCAACTTTCTAAGACGTAACCAAAAAGTCTTAATCATTATAGGTAACGTTATCCCTGGTTTTATATTGTATACAGTACATCGCAGAATTGACTGGCAAATGAGTAATCCAAATGTAATATTGCCAACTGGCTTAATGATATCATGACCAGCTGTATTGAAGTAAACAAAAATCAGCAGTAAATGGCTTCTAATGCTATTTTTATGGAGAACGTTTAAAGTTATATATAATTTTGTGTTAAGATTTAACGAATTTCACTATTTTTCCCGCCGTCACGGGATCGGGACCTTTAATTTGAGCCCTCTCCCATCTTTCTACGACTTCCCAATCGCCCACAATTTTGACACAAAGAATCGGCTTATGTAATTAATATCTATGTATCTTATGTAATCTCTTGTGTTATGGAATATCTTATGTAATATATAGACTGTAAAAGGAAGGTTCTGGATGTGCCGCTAGCAGTGTTGTGTAGTTACTGCGCACACCCACACCGCTGCAGGCGTCGTGCACTGTAACTACACGGCACTCCTAGCGGTGTGCGCCAGAACATATGCTAACCGCAGCACTGTTGACGGTCTAGGTCTATATTTATTCTATTTGTCTATATATCTTACATTAACGGTGAAATTCGTAAAAACCCCATTTTTAAATTTCAAATTCAACCCCAAAATTCAAAAATGGCGGATATCTAAAAACGACAAAACAAGTTTTTTTTCAAACGGCTATAGCTCGAAAAGATTTGAAACAATTTTCATGGTCAGGAATTAAATTTTCTACAAAACCCTCATAGGCGTTTTCCGAAAATCGCACTCCTTCAGCTTCAAAAAACGCCCTACTTTCAAAATTTGTTAAATTTCTTTCAAATTTTAAACGGTTTTCGCTACTTTTCTCAACCTAAGTATTATTAATGCTTTGTATTTACTTATTTTCTTATTTATTTGAAAGAATTTTCACGTTCAGGAATTAGATTTTCTACAAGACACATTTATGCGTTTTTCGAATATCACACTCCTTCACCTTCAAAAAACGCCTACTTTCAAAATTTTGTAAATTTCTTTCAAATTTAAAACGGTTTTCGCTACTTTTCTCAACCTAAGTATTATTAATGTTTTTTATTTACTCCGGTTTACTTTAAATTTTAGTAATTTAATGTTTTTTTGTAACTTTACTCCTTGACCTTATTTTTAATGTCGAAATTTGAAAGTTTTTACGAGCCCCATGTTATTTTTATGGAGAATAACATTGAAATTTAATGACTTTGGTATGGTCATCTGAACCGTTTAGAAACGTGCTAGAGACTAAATTTGGTAGTTTTGTAGTATGGGATCCTAAGTTAATGATGAAATTTGCAAAAGCCCATTTTCAAATTTTAACCTCCCCAAAAATCCAAAGTGGCGGACATCTAAAAACGACAAAATAAGTTTTGTTTAACGGCTATAACTTGAAAATGGTCATAGCTAGAAAAGATTTGAAAGAATTTTCGTGGTCAGGAATTAAATTTTTAACAAAAACCGTTTATGAGTTTTCCGAAAATCGCACCCCTTCATCCCTAAAAAACGCCTTACTTTCAAAAATTGACAAATTTTTTCAAATTTTTTACGGTTTTTGCTACTTTTTCCAACCTAAGTAAATTATTTTTGCAAAGATTATTAATGCTTTGTATTTACTTCGTTTTATTTTAAATTTTAGTAATTTAATGTTTTTTCATAACTTTACTCCTTGACCCCCAAAATTTAAGTGTAATGTCAGAATTTGGTATATTTTCCACTTTTACCAGGTTATAACAGATTCTTTACCTGTTCTATGGGCGCACGGGTATTGAAAACTGTACACAATTTACTGTATTAGAGCTAACACCATGGTATGAATATAAGGACCATATAAAAATTCCCCCTTCCAAAATCGATTTCCACCCTTATAGCTATCCTATAGCCACCATAGGTGTTTCGGTCTTCATCACGTTTACCCACTTCTAGATTAGCTGGAGATCTTGAATTTGGCTCGTTTGTGGGTCTTGCGCCTTTTTCGAAAAGTGATATTTTACAATATTAAAACTCCCCCCCCAACCTTGTTATTCTTATGGCGAACCTTGAAAGTGGCCAACTTTGGTATGCGGATCTAAAAGTTTTGAATCGTGCTAGAGATTTAAAACTGTACAATAGTGTACAACATTACCAAAAAATAACCCTTACAATTTTTAAAAGCCCCATTTTAAAGATTTAACCCCCCCTCCCGAAAACCAAAATGAAGGACATCTGAAAACCACACAACACGTTTTTTAAAACTGCAATAACTTAAAGCCCCCTATTTAATATGAACCCCCTATTTAATAAACCCCCTATATTACAGGGATTTAGAATTGTTTGTATGTAACCCCCTCAACAAATAATTGAACCCCCCTCCCAACCAGTTCTTGAACCACTGCCTTTCATCATAATAAATTAACCTACCAACATATTTGTACAAATGAGTACAGTTCCCCGTGGCGGAACTGGATATGCCATACAGTTTATGGCCAACTATCAGGGAAACACTATCCTGTAATACAGCTACTAGGAGGTCACAAATTGTGGATATTTATAGGCATGCGCTGTGGATGCGATACTCCATGGTATGGATTAACGTCCGCAAGAGTGAGTACTACGACTATCCGCAGTACTATCCTGCTAACTAGACCAATTCGTTTATACCAAGGCAAAAATGTGGTTTGGAATCCACTATAAATTGTAGGTCCCTTAGTGTGGCAAACTGACAGGGAAACAAAAATAACTTAATCTATTTTTATAAATAAATACATGAATATTTACTATAATCTATTTACTTCATACAATACTTTACTATTATCAACTTACTAGTGGCTTAAGGGACATAAGTCCCTAAAAAGTGCAATAACATAAAACAAATTATTCTAATATTTAAACAAACCAAGGAATATATCATCTATGTGTCAGAATAGATATCCCTGTACGCCATATCTTTTGTGTAAAAACAGTTTGTAGTTTGTCTTTGTTTGCCTTAGTTGATGTTTTTTTTATAAATCATTCAAATCACTACATAGGTTTAACTCTGCTAAAGGCAGCAAACATACAATTGTTTGTGAATAAAATACTGCTTTATTATGGTAGCTTTGGTCTTGTTGTTGATGGTGATAAAATAAGACTTCCCTGATTGGAAGTTTGGAAATTGTCTTCGTCAAATATGAATAGGCAAATGAAGGTGTGTTTAGATAAGCTTAGTTCTTGGTCAAATCCGCTAAATTAGCACCCCAACCCAGTTATTATTATTTCTAAGTTTATACTCCTTTTGTAAAGGTTTAACAAAATTAGTTTAAAGTAAAGGCATCCCATTGACCAAACTTAACCCTAGATTTTTTTCTGATCAACATAAAAAAAACTACAATTAGTTTAAGTTTATGTATGGGTATTCCTCTTAAAGGTGCGATTGACGTTACATATTCTATCCAATTAGGCCTAATCATGGGCTGATTCTTAACTCTTTTGCGAGCAACAGACAGTACCTGTTTAAAATCTCCAAACAATATTGATTTCTCCAATTGGAACTTGTAATAGTACTTACTAAATTAACAAATATATATTTCCTGTACGAACCTATTCTATCTTTATTCCCAGGATATTTTCTAAGAGTAGTCATGTTGAGGTTATTCCACTTCATACAAAATATTGATTAAACACTACTATAAATCTCAAATTTAAAATAAAGAAACTGTAGAATAAATCTAGATAATAATTTATGTAATGAAATAAAAGCAAAGCAGAAGGTTTTCCATTTAATCTTGAATTGTTAATTATTTAGTCAATGTGGTTATTTCATGCTAAACGTTAAAAATACACAAATTTGAAGCATTTCACGGTAAGATAATTTATTTCCACATTCTATAACGTAACTCAAAAGTCTTAATTATTATAGGTAACGTTATCCCTGGTTTTATATAGGCTAGTACATTGCAGAATTGATTGGCAAATAAGTAATCCAAATGTTAACATTGCGTACTGGGTTGATGATAAATCACGATCAGCTGTATTGAAGTAAACAAAAATCTGCAGTAAATGGATTCTAATGCTATTCTTATGGATAACATTTTACGTTATATCTCGTTTTCTGGTAACATAAAGAGAATTCTGCTATTTTTCCCGAGTCCCTGGTGTCAAGACCTTTAATTTAAGACCTCGCCCACTTTTCTGCAAATAACCTGACGTCCACAATTTTCTGGTAAAAAATTTTGTCGTGCAGAATTATATATAAGGAATTAACCTATCAATCTACTCTAATATATTCCTGAAATCGTTATTACTTTAATATTGATTTTCACTATTACGACCCAAATTATCCTTATATTATCACTTTGTTTGACCAAAAACTCAGTAGGAAAATACTTTACTATCCTAATCTTACAGCATTTAAAAAAGAGATTTTTGTTATTAAGAGGGGCTTTGAATTGGAGCTCGGACTTAACTTACCAACCTCCTCTAATATATTCATAAAATTGTTTTTATATAACGTAATATCGACAGTTTCACTTCGTGCTTTGTTACAACTAAACTATTATCTACTAATGACGACTAACAGCTAGAGCCAAAGGCGAGTATATATATATAATGTTTTTTCTACTCACATTGATAGATGGACTTACCGGATGAAACGATAGATCTTCGGCAGATATCGTGGTGTACAGATCAGCTGATGGCCAAGGGAAAGGGTGAGGAGGAGGAGGCAGTCAATAACAGCTGTTCTCCAGCTGATATGGACCCCTCTTGTGTGGCCCCTGTGACCAAGGTATCTGCTGCACAGCTGAGGAGGATACTGTTGGACAAGTGTGGCTGTGCTGACTCAATAAGCAACCATGAAGATCACATCAAGCCTAATAAATCATTGACTACCGAAGATGTCATAAATGCTTTTTGTCATCCAAGTGTTATTTCTCAAGTTGCAAAATTGTTGATTAACTCAAGGAAATAATTACTAGGTTAGTAATTAAAGTTAATTTTGTACTAAACTGAATCTTTTAAATTCTTTTATTTGATCTATTATAAATAAATTGTTGAGCAGATTTTAGGCTTTTTTTTAGCTATGACTTTTCATTATGAGTAGAGCCCTGGTATTTAATTGTTTCCAACAAAATCAAAGAAAAGTGCACTATCTGTTATAAACTCTTGTTTTAGAAACAAAGTGTTACCGGCAAAAGTTTCCAGTCTAAACACAGCTTTAAAAACTAGTGATTCTACTAAAAAAATTGAGATTATACATTTTTAGGAAACTTTATGACTAAGTCAATAAGTACAAATCAGTTAATGAACAACTAAGTTAATACAGTTTTTGTAGACCGTGCATGGCCCAGACCAACGAACAAGCAGTGTAACAATGAGAAAAAAATTAAAACATCATAAAATTCATACACACTTCTTAAGTTTGAAACATAATGGAGAAGGTACAAATATATTAAACTTCTTTAATAAAACATTATTTTTATTTTTAGATAACAATTATTTTGGTACAAAATGGAAGTGCACATTGTTTATTAAAAATGTATTAGATCAGTCTTATTACCAACTATAAATATTAGCACTATTATATATGAAGAAAACACAGTTTCTTGGATGTTTAATATGTACATGCAACATATCATAAATATTTTGCTTATGCTATAACAATACAACCTCAAAAGAATTGATTCAAAGAAAAATGTAATACAAACATTCTGTTAAATATTGACAAAGCTTATTATGATTACAGGGTATCCGAAAAAGTATGTCAGAATTTTAAATGGTCATTGCTTGTGGACTATTCAAGATAACTAAACAATTTTAAACGTCAATTTGGAGTTACAATAACTAAGTTTTGTTTCCCATGTAGCAAGGGAAGAAACTTTTAACTTGGCAAGTGCAAAACAGGTGCCCAGAGGTAGGCAGCTGTTGTGACTGACAGGCCTGACGCCAGTTGCCAGTAGTACAATGTTTACTGTATGACAGAAGGCACAGTCTGATCTGTGGTTCGGAGGGTGTAAATAGATTGCCTGACAAAGTCTTCAGCTAACCATATGTAATTAGACACTCAATGATGTTTTTCGTAAAAGATTGAGACTTAGTACCTACATAATTCAGTTAAGACATCAGATTAAACCCGCTGATCGCTATATGCGTACAGACATAGCCAGTTTTATGGTAATATGAGATAGATGGCAAATTAGCCAAATTTCATTAAATTTTTCCAAATTTGATCAAAGTATGAAAAAAACTTTGTTTTTCCCTTCAACGTCTTAATTGTTAAATTAAATTATCCTTAATAGAACCCAAGCAATAACCGTTTGCATCCCAACATTTTTTCACGGATACCCTGTATTTATCCCTGATTATGATTTACGCATTGTGATTCCTGTTAATTTTACTTGTTTAGGTTATAATTTGTACAAATACTTTACATAGATTTAATCACAAATTGAAATAAAAGGAACACAAATATTTTGTATCACAAAATAGCAGAAAATTCTGTATTAAGAAAAGATTTTATGTTATATGAAGACTTTTTTATTAGTTTTTCAATCCTACAAACAATTAATTGTTGAAAAAGTTCTTGTAAATTCACTGTTATTGAAGAAAGGTGCTTGGTAGCTATAGTTTAAAAGAACATGAACCATTTTTTTACTTTCTCCCCCTACATACATAGTGTATGGAGAAAGTATTGTTTTTGTCAACATTTTTGAGTTTGAGTTTTGAGTGGAATATCTGTTTTGGGCCCCCTGAACCCAAAAAGTGGTTTTTGAAGTGATGTCTGTCTGTGCATGTGTCTGTCTGTATGTGTGTCTGTCTGTACACATTGTGTAGGCCTACAGAGCTACTGACCGATTTTGACTAAATTTGGTATTAGAATGTCTACCATTTTGTTCACAATTTAAAGGGCTACAACATACTAAATTTTTATCAAAATCGTTGGGCTCATTTTTGAGAAGATTACATTTTTCTGTTATTTTATGGGTTTTATGGAAAAATCACCATTAAAAATTAAAATTTCAAAAAAGTTAGAATTGCGTGGAGGTACCATGGATTAGTACCTATCGTACATACCAAATTATGAATCTGATGTTGACGACAATGTCTGTGTGACATTGTGTCAACAACATCAGATTCAAGATTCAATGTATCTTGTTCACAACTATAGCTAAACGGAAGCTCGTTTTATGATGGAGGGATGTGGAGGGTCGAAGGAGACGAAGTGTGGTGGATGTTTGGAAGGGCCCAAACAACTGCAGGAGCAGACTGAGATCTGGTCAAAGTCATCGTCTATGATGCCTGGGTTGGTGTGGCCGGCCAGTAGCTTGCCATTGAGAGCCAATACTTCACCGTCCAGCGTCAGGACGTGGTGTGAAGATGACTGCATCTCACTGTCCTCACGCCGCACGTCCTCCGCGTTCCTGTCACACACATGAGTTACAAGATACTTACATTAGGGACTAAAGAGATTCTTGTCCTTTGATACAATAAAAGTCTTTTCTTTCCACACACATAAGCCTCGCGCGCACTGGGTCGGGACGGTACGGAGTTCTGCACTTTTTTAGTGGGGCTGTGCGCACTGGATCGGTCGGTACGGTACGGACGTTCGGCAGTTCTGGTAGTTACCACCACAGTCTCCTCATAGCTTATGTGATGCATGTGTAGTGAAGAGAACGCTATGTTAAGTGAAGAAGTGATTGTTGTTAGTCTAATGGTGGTGGCAGAAGAAGAAGAGAAGTCAAGAAGTGTAACAAAACGCAGATTTTGGGTTCACAACATAAATTGCAAGAGATTAGAACTTGGATAGTTTCACGCTTTATTTCCAGACTTAATGGAAGATGACTGCAAGTTCTTTCAATACTTTCGGATGACACATCAAAAGTTTGAAGAATTGCTACATGTTGATAGTGCGGATTTACTGAGAAAACGCACCAATATCAGAGAATCAATAGGCCCTAAGGAGAGACTAGCAGTCTGTTTAAAAGTACTCTGCACTTAAAATGGCGGAACGTCCGTACCGACCGTACCAAACGCGCACTGCAGACGGCGGACGAGTCATCGGTACGGGACGTCGGGATGTCCTAGAAATCATTACTTCGGACTTATGGCAGACGGCAGAAGGTGCGGTACCGACTGTGACGACCCAGTGCGCGCACCCATTAATACGCAAGCAGATCTTTTGTGACAATTACTCCTCCGAAACTACTGAACCGATTGTCATGTTTTTGGTGTCATTGGAAAGAGCGTAGCGTGAAGTTGTGCAGGAAACTTTCTTTTAATGGAAATAATGAGAGTGTGAGGCCCTGGAGCCCTTTGAAGTTTCTTATTTCTCCATAAGATTAACATGGGAAACAAAAATTGTTATGAAACTCCAGCTGTTGTCAGAAATCAAAAGTGAGAAGAAGAGCATAGGTTAATTGTAAACAGTCAATAAGTTTGTTAATAAAACAGTTTGCTACAAATATTTGCTGACTTGGTTGAAGTTCGTTTTAAAATAACGCCTGTAATACTTAGCAATTGCTCGAATTCGAGCAACAGACTAGTTATTATTAATTATTGTTGAAGCTATTATTATTTTTATTGAAATTATTTAAAAATAAAATATTAAATACAGATCCTAAAAATGTTGATATAATAAATAACACTAAATAAAATTTTTAATTAATGTTAATTTACCCAAAATGAATGGTGTATGGTATTCCATACTTTATTAAATGAATATTAATCTAAAATATTATTTAGTGTTATCAAGATTACACATGCTATGTGTGTTATTTATTACATCAACATTTTAAGATATGTATTTAACATTATTTCTGTTTGAGTACAATTTTAAAACTAATATGTGTAAACAGAATTTGGAAATCTCACATTGTCATGAAGCGCAACACTAACAAGTTGATGCTTGCAGCTACAATAGCCAATCCAAACAAGATGAACACCAAGCTCAGTGCCACGTATCCTGGCTTGTTAATCAGGGCTTGGTCATTCTGAAAAAATATCATAATTCATTTGTCAAGTTTTAGTTCTTTGATATAGTTCATTTCTAATCATGACACTGAAATATGTGTTACCTATAATTGCTTGGTTCAGTAAATATTTTTAGTAAAATCATAGTTACTTCAATACTTTATTTTTAAATGGCAACCATACAATATTGTAGGTGTTTTGACAGTGTAGTGGATTAATCTTGAGTTAGTGTGATATGAAATGACAATCTTTTTTTTTTACAAGAAGATGTTGGCGGCCTCTTTTATGGCCTCTTATATTACACTAGAGGCCGTCCAGTGGTCCAAAACTCAGACAAAACTATGTAATGTACAGGCTTCTCTATTTTCACCCCACGCTGTAAATAAAACATGTGATTGTTATTTCTTCCTTTGTTTTGATTTTCTGTTTATATTTTGTTGTTATTTATTCACCAGCATGGCAACCCATAAGGCCCATGTTAATTTCTGTTTAATTTCAAATTCATTTTTTGAGCTTGTTTTTGAGCCATTTGAATTTATAAAGGGATTCTGCACATCTACAGGAAAATATCTTACTAACAGTATCGGTAGACTTTCCCTGAGATGTACACAAGCTGAGAAAAAAGGTTTTAAAGAAACATGCTTGCCTATTAATATATAGATTGGTTTAAAAAGTGTTGTCAATCTTGGAATTTTCCTCACATAAAAATTAATACTATTATTCCCTTTTAGCAAATTCCATATATATAGGGAATAAACTATTATCGTAGTTCTCATGGTAAGACCTAGACCTGGGTCGGATTTCTTATTCATTTTGATGTTCCCAGAGTCCAAAAACACTATCCGTTCAAATTATTACAACTTATGTCCGTTGTCCTGAATTAAACTAGGTAAATTTAAAATACAGCACTGGTAATGCTAATAACATGAGTGCAGAAACTTTAAAGAGCTAATTCAGGTAAAAGCATGGTTAAAACAAACTAAATAAAGTAAAGTGGCAACAAAAACATTTATTAAAAAAAGAGCAAAGGAGAATATGCAAAATTACTACTGCTTATTATTTGGTGATCCATCTATGCAACAGAAATGTTTTAGCTAATTAAATTAAAAACAAGCTAGAAGTAGTTTTGAAAGGTTATCTGGTTGAAAGGTTTAACTGGAAACTATTTTACTTTTGTGACATAGTTGGATCAAATAATGGTGCAATATGACAAAAAATATAGTTAATCGCATCGGAAAAAATTACTTTTCAACCCACAGTCATTTTCTTACCTAGGCTTTGCCTCGATTTGAGCTCGGGTTGAAAAGAGTCACTTTAGGCCCTAGTGGTGAACTATACTAATTGCAATTTATTGTATCATATGAGAATTTGATATAACATGTGTATTTGGCAATAACTACCTGGAGAGCTACGTAGTCTCCAAATCCAATAGTGGTTAGTGTAACAAAACAATAGTAAAAGCTGTCAAAGTAACTCCACCCTTCGTAGCGGGAGAAAACAGCAGCCCCCGTGGTGATGATGACAGATGATAACATGCCTGTAGCCATCATCAGGTTGATCTCTGTGGCTTCTGTTTGAGAGCATCTTAGGTACATCTGTGAAGAGACATGAGTGTAAGAAAAAATAGTAGAAACTGTCTAGCAACTCCAGCCGTCATAGCGCGAGATGACAGCAATCCCTGTGTTGATGATGACAGATGGTGTGGCCTGTAGGCAACATAAGGTTGATCTCTGTGGCTTCTGTTTGAGAACACCTTAGTTACATCTGTGAAGAGATATTGAGTAAGAAACAATAGTAGAAACTGTCAAGTAACTCCAACTCCAGCCATAATAGCTAGAGAAGACAACAGCCCCTGTGGTGATGATGACAAATGACAACATGCCTGTAGGCATCATAAGGTTGATATCTGTGGCTTCTGTTTGAGAGCTTCTTTAATTGCTACATCTGTGAAGACATGCGAGTGAGAAACAATAGTAGTATAAACTGTCAAGTAACTCCAGTCGTTATAGCAAAGAAGACAGCAGCCTCTGTGGTGATGATGACAGTTGACGACATGCCTGTAGCCATCATCAGGTTGATCTCTGTGGATTTTGTTTGAGAACATCTGTGAAGAGATATTGAGTAAGATTCAATAGTAGAAACTGTCGAGTAAGTCCTTCCATCCATAGCGGGAGAAAACAACAGCCCCTGTGGTGATGATGACAGTTGACGACATGCCTGTAGCCATCATCAGGTTGATCTCTGTGGATTTTGTTTGAGAACATCTTAGTTACATCTGTAAAGAGATATTGAGTAAGATTCAATAGTAGAAACTGTCAAGTAAGTCCTTCCATCCATAGCGGGAGAAAACAACAGCCCCTGTGGTGATGATGACAGATGACAACATGTCTGTAGCCATCATCAGGTTGATCTCTGTGGCTTCTGTTTGAGAGTGTCTTAGGTACATCTGTGAAGAGACATGAGTGTAAGAAAACAATAGGTAGTAGAAACTCTTGAAGTACTTAACTCTAGCCACCAGCTTTCATAGCGGGAAGAAGTAATTTTGTACAATATTCTGTGCTACCTGACCTTGCTAGGACCAAATTAGGTTAGGTAATAAGGCCTCTACTGAAGCTGACATTGATGAAACATACTTAATCAACATACTTAACATACTTAATACTCTTTCACCTAAAAAAAGTTGAAAGCCAGACAGACCTGGCAATTTGAATCTTCCTAGAATACTGTATTTTTGACTATTTTTAATCGCTGGAAAAACGACAGACTCATTAAAACTTATTTACAAGGTGTGTTTAATGTTATTAAACAAATCTGATATGTTCTATTATAGTGGTATAGTACCTTGGCGCGTCGGATCACTACGGAGGCAAACTTGTTGAGACGTTCTCCAATACTCTGGAACATGACCAGTCCTAGTGGAATGCCTACCATGGCGTAGACCATGCAGAAGGCCTTGCCTCCAATGGTGACTGGAGTGGAGTGACCATAACCTGCAAAAACAACTTTTGATAAAAAACTTTTAAGAGGACTTCAAAATAAATATTGTTTTATTGTAGATTTAATAACTCATATGGAAGAACCTCCAATATCTATACCTAAAATAGGCAAAGCCCTCGCTGACTCACTCATTACTAATTCCCCTACTTACCATTTACCCAGGAGGCTGAAATTTGGTACACTGATTCTTTAGGCATTAATAGCAAAACAAAGTAGTTTTTTTTCTGATCGGACTTTCGGGCTCTGCCCCAGTGGCTCTGGAGTATCCCATCTTATACAGGGTGAATAAAAAGTCAAGACCCCCCCCTCTAATATTTTTCCAAGTAAATATACAGAGATATCCTTTTGGTGGTCGTGCAAGATTAGCAGGAAGTTTCATTTTATGATTTTGAAATTTTTGAGTGTCCCCCCAAAAGGGGGGATTTGGGGGGTAACTCAAATATTTTAAATGTAAACCCCCTTCAAGTGACACCTCATTTTAAGGTGTTTACAAAAACTTAAAGAATGGTGAAAACTAGAGGTCGCTATCACGCTATCTCTTCTCTATCCAAAATGGTAGCCCGTCAAATGTTGTAGAAAATCAATGGTAAAATTGGTTCGTAATGGTAATATTGGCTATCATTTTGGATAGAGAAGAGATAGCGAACTCTGGTTTTCACCATTGTTTAAGTTTTTGCAACCTCTTCAAAATGAGGTGTCACTTGATGGGGGGTTACATTGAAAAAAAATTAGTTGCCCCCCAAATCCCCCCTTTTGGGGGGACACTCAAAAATTTTAAACGCAAACCCCCATTTTTTGATACTTTGTTTTGAAGTGCTTACAAAAACTTAAGGAATGGTGAAAACTAGAGGTCGCTATCTCTTTTCTAACCAAAATGGTAGCCAATATTACTATTACGAACCAATTTTACCATTGATTTTCTACAACATTTGACGGGCTACCATTTTGGATAGAAAAGAGATAGTGACCTCTAGTTTTCACCATTCTTTAAGTTTTTGTAAACACTTCAAAATGAGGTGTCACTTGAAGGGGGTTAACATTTAAAATATTTGAGTTACCCCCCAAATCCCCCCTTTTGGGGGGACACTCACAAATTTCAAAATCATAAAATGAAACTTCCTGCTAAGATTGCACGACCACCAAAAGGATATCTCTGTATATTTAATGGGAAAAATATTAAAGGGGGGGGTCTTGACTTTTTATTCACCCTGTATATTTAAAAAATTTGGTTTTTCTTTTCCAAGTTCGTTTGGCTCTTCTACCCGACCGATTTTCATGATTGAGGTCTCAAATTGATGGTATGCACGCACAGATTTGCCATCAAACATAGGCATAAATGTATCAATAACCCCACTCGACGTATATGTAAACGAAATTTGCTCCCCATGTATTTCTTATGGGAGTTAAATTTGTGTTTTCTTTACCGAGTTCGTTTATGGCTCTTCTACCCAACCGATTTTCATGATTGGGGTCTCGAATTTAAGGTATGCACGTACAGATTTGCCATCAAGCATCGGCATAAATGTATCTATAATCCCACTCGGCATATACGTAAACAAAATTTGCTCCACATATATTTCTTATGGGAGTTAAATTTGGGTTTTCTTTGCCGAGTTCGTTTGGCTCTTCTACCCGACCGATTTTCATGATTGAGGTCTCGAATTGAAGGTATGCACGGACAGATTGCCATCAAGCATAGGCAAATGTATCTTTAATCCCACTCGGCATATACGTAAACGAAATTTGCTCTCCATGTATTTCTTATGGGAGTTAAATTTGGTTTCTCTTTGCCGAGTTCGTTTAGCTCTTCAACCCGACCGATTTTCATGATTGAGGTCTCAAATTGGAGGTATGCACGCACAGATTTGCGATCAAGGATCGGCATTTAATCATCTACCTATAGTCTCACTCGGTTTATACGTAAACGAAATTTGCTCTCTATGTATTTCTTATGGGAGTTAAATTTGGTTTCTCTGTGCCGAGTTCGTTTAGCTATTCCATCCAACCGATTTTCTTGATTGAGGTCTCAAATTGTAGGTATGCACGTAAAGATTTCACATCAAGCATCGGCATGGATTGATTCATTTTTGAATTTAAGATTACTTCAATTTAAGATGTATTTCACCAGTTATAATTATACTAGCTGTAACCCGCGGGCTTTGCCCCGTTTAACTTCTTAATTTTCAAGATTATCTCGTTCGCATGGCTCAATCACGTCCTGGTTGAAGTTTGTTCGCTACGCTCACTCACCTTTAAGTTGGAGCTCGTTCGCTACGCTCACTCACCTTTGGGTTGGAGCTCGTTCGCTGCGCTCACTTGCCTTCAGGTTAGCTCGTTCGCTACGCTAACTCGCCTCCAGGTTGAAGTTCGTTCGCTACGCTCACTCACCTTTTGGTTGCAAATTAGCTGTTGTCATAAATGTAAAAGAAATAATAGTGCTGCACCCTGTTGGTAATCCTTGTAACTTTAATGCTATTGAACATCATAGAACAGAACCAACTTGTTTAATTGAAACAGCTGTTAAGATTCAATAATTCCATTTCTCATAAGGTTAACATGGGAAACTCCAGAGCCACTGGGGCGGAGCCCGAAAGGATTTTTGAAATAAGAATATGCCTATATGTTAATCGGGAATGTGAGCTATCATCATGCCAAATTTCAGCCCAATTCGACCAGTATTTTTCGCGTTCACTTGTCACAAACATACATCCATACATCCATACATCCATACATCCAAACTTTCTCATTTATAATATTAGTAGGATAATCCTACATATTTCGGTCTAAGAACCTTCAGTGAAATACTGGCTTTCTTTTAATCTATTAGTTATTCAAATAGGAGTTTTAAGCAGACGCAAGGCGAACAACCAACATAAACATTTTTTCATAAGAGTTTTCTATGATTACAAATCAATAGCTCCAGTATTGTTCATGTTTTTTTATATGTTTTAGACTCAAAATAATCAGTAAATTATAGGCTTTAATTTTAGCTGTTTATTGTTTGAATCAATTAAGCTCAAGATACTGTATTACTCAATAAAAATCATAAATTTGAATATTCATCAGATATTATATTTATTTTAACGCTGCGGAGCAGCATGGGTCCTCTAGTATTAACCTTAAGAGTATTCATATTTAAGAGGAATTAATGAATCTTAACAGCTGTTTCAGTTAAATATGTTGGTTCTATGATGTTCAATGAAAACCAGTTCTTTATTTTTATTCAAACAATGCATTACAAAAGAATAACATTTTTTCCATAAATAATTCTTCCATATATACAAATAAAATATCTACATACAACCTTGAATCACACTTATTCTAGCGTTTATATACATCAATACCATTTTGTTTTGTTTAACTGCACTATATTAGCATTAGCCCAAAGGACTGTCAGCTGGGCTGGCAGCTTGCAGCTTTCATGTTAATTATAATATTACAAAATATTTTTATTTTCTCCCTATTTTCCATATTCCCAGGATGGCAAACAATGTATTTTTATGCAAAATTAAATTCTGACACAAGTTTATATCTATATTTGCATGCATTAATTAAATAACATCTTAGACTTCGCCAGTCCCTACCATTTAAGTACCATAGAGTACATCTTCCCACCTATTTGTTTGTTTGAATTTCAATCACACATTCACTACTGGTCGGATTGGGCTGAAATTTGGCATGATGATAGCTCTCATCCCCGATTAACATATAAAGTCTATTTAAACTCAGGAGTAGGCGGAACAAGTCGACCGTACTAATACCCTCACCCCTTGAGTCTATTGTGCGAGTTCGGGTAGGGGCACGCGTCGTCGGCCTTTGTCGGTGAGTCATTGCTGCTGGTCCCAGTGTCAATATGCAAACTTTTTTAATTGAAAGAAAAACTTAAAACAAAGTATATAACGTGCTGTGTTTTGATCGCCTGATTATTTTGATACCAAATATGAAGGAAATCGGTTAATTTTGGGGAAGGCAAAGTAAATAATTAAATCGTATACATGGTTTTCAAATAATGTTTAATGGTCATAAAATAAATTTTTTATCGAATGACTTTGATTAAATGATTGATGAGTTTTATAACAAAATCTTATTTACTACTTTACACAATAAATATCACCATACAGTACAGTGGACAGGCAGTTTTTTGTTCATTAAATTCATTATTAAAATATAGACATAAAATTTATACTGTTATCAGTGTGCATTTATTTACACTGGTTCATTAACTTGATATTGACAACAAACTCTATTAAAATTAAATACATCTTAATATTATATTATATTATTATTACAAAAAAAAAGAAATAGACATCAAAGTATTCTTTTCAAAAATTTTAAAGACTGATTATTTGGGCCTAAAATTGGAAAATTTAACGGGGTTGGTGCACTGTGTATTATAATTTATCAATTATCAATTTTAAATTTTCTAAAAACGTTAAAAATTTAATAAATACTTCTAATTATATGTTCAATAATTAAAAATGAGCCATATCAATTATATAACTAACTCACAAAATATACGTTGCAAAGGCATAACAAAATAATACACGGAAAACCCAAATATACATTATTTAAAACAATTTAAAAAATCTACTTACAGATGTAGTTACACTTTTATTTACAAAGGGACGGCCAACTCGTCATCAGATCCATCACTTTCTCACTTTAATTCACTTTGCCTTCCCCAAAATTAACCGATTTCCTTCATATTTGGTATCAAAATAATCAGGCGATCAAAACACAGCACGTGATATACTTTGTTTTAAGTTTTTCTTTCAATTAAAAAAGTTTGCATATTGACACTGGGACCAGCAGCAATGACTCACCGACAAAGGCCGACGACGCGTGCCCCTACCCGAACTCGCACAATAGACTCAAGGGGTGAGGGTATTAGTACGGTCGACTGGTTCCGCCTACTCCTGAGTTTAAATAGACTTTATATGTTAATCGGGGATAAACACTAAGCCGGTACGCATTATTAACGTTTGGATGACTT